AGCTGTATGGGATGTGCAGTAACAAGAACCCAGATCAGATACAATATGATAACCAGGTTAGAGACTGTTTTGCAGATTTTTCAGATTTCTATTTTACATCAAGGCTGCGTCTAGATTGGCAAGAATTTGCGCAAATACTTTTAACAGAAAAGTTTTTCCATTAAAAGTATTTGCGCAAGAGAGCATCTACACTGGCATGTGCCTTTGTGCAAAAGATTTGCTTTTGTGCAAAAGCATCCGTGACCAGTGTAGATGCTCTCTTGAGCATGAAAGCCCCAATGGCCATTTTAGCCATCGGGCTTTCTTGTGCAAGAAATAAACCTGGCTGTCTACATTGGCCCTCTTGATCAAGAATACTTGCACAAGAGGGCTTATCCCTGAGTGGGAGCGTCGGAGTATTTGCACAAGAACCACTGATTTTGTACATTACAAAGTCAGTGTTCTTGTGCAAATACAAGTGGCCAGTTAAGCAAGATTTTTGCGCAAAATCATGCCAGTCTAGATGCAGACCAAGATTGTTAAATGTAGAAGTTCCTCTTTTCTCTGTGGACTATCTATCCATGGCTAGATGCATTGGACATGACTGGCAGGAAAGTAGCTATTTACCTTGACTTGCAGGTCACCTCTTCAATAGGACCACAGGCTTTGTATACTCTATGTGATGGGCAGTTAAGAGCTTGAATGGAAGAGATACAGAGAAAAATAGTTCATCATGACCATCAGAAGCAACCCAAAATGTTTATACTTTTGCCAATCTTCAAAAACACATTGGAAACAAATAGATTTTAAAATGTCAGACTCATTCAGTAAGAATGAAGATCTGACTGAGAACCTTAAATTCTAAGAAACTCAGACTTAAGGGAAAAAGCCATTTATGAAAGGTATCGCAGGATCTGCAGGTCATCAGTGATTTTACATAAAGCAACATATACAAAGCAACATGCCATTTTTCTGTGCCAACTTAAGGGCAGGATTTGATTTTTGGATACAAATACTTTGGATGGCTAGGGTTTCTTAGGGCCAAATTTTCAAAATAAACCCAAAGCACCAGCAAAACCAAGTTTGTTTCCCATTAAATATGTAGGCACCCCTGTTGTGTATGCTCAGGCATTTCCACAAATGGATTTAGAGCTTTTGGGGCACAAAAACATAATATACGTTTTTATAGGATCGTCTATTTTCTCCCCTTTGAAATCTAGGCAGCAAAATTATTTCAGCACAGCTTTGAAGTTTATTACACTCATTATGGACTTGGGGAAACCAAATAACTCATTAACACAGGGGAATTGAAGCAGACAAATTATTTAAGTGAAATGACAGAAAAATGTCTCTACTTACCACAGGTGCCATGGGTATAGCCTCTCCAGTCAACACAGACACCCTGGTCAGCACAGATGGTAGCGTAAATTTGCAAACTAGCACACTCGAGTTGGGAGTTTGGAATAAAACAGCTGTCATAAATGCAGGCACGATAGTAGTTATGGTAGTCGACAAGTCTATGGCACTTTTCAAACACACTAGAAGCAGAAACATGTAATTAGTTACTATGCTTAGTTCAAGGTGCTGGATGGCATATTTTAGCATGGGGTTGTACTGGGACCACTGAAAAGGACTCATGCATGACAGAGCAGCATTTCACTGGAGTACAACCTTCCAATACACTGAGACCTTAATCTTTATACTATCTCTCGCTCCAAAATACTGCATCCCCCTAGTGGCTGGAGGAATCTAGTGTCACCATGAATTAGAGTTGTCAATAAAACTTGGTTTGAAATGTCCCGTCTTTGAAGCCACATTGTGAAACTTAAGCACGAGCTCCCTTTGGCTTGTCAGGGGATCCATATCGGCTGCTGAGACAGCACAGTAGAAGAGCCAAGTGGAAAGGGCTGGAGAAGGACAAGGAAGCCAAAAAGTGTATGAGAGGGCCAAAGAATCAGTAAGAAGCCTGAATGGCAGTGAGGAAGTTGCAAAGATGAAAGCAGAATAGGAGGGAAGTTAGAAAGAACAGAAGGTAGGGAGGGAGCAGAAGCAGCTGCAAGAAATGATGAAGCAACAGCAAACCTGCATTTCAGATTTTCACGGAATTCCAAAATTATAGGTCTGTACCACTGCTGGTGTATTTACCTTCCCTTAAAGAGCTCACAGAGAGCAGATGGTTTGCAGGTATCTGGGACAGGAGGAGGGCCCGGTGTCGGAATTACAGATGGAGTGCACTGTGGCTTTTCGGGGTCATGAACCACCCAATGGTCCGCCATGGTTTCACAGCTACCTGGGAACTTTCCATTAGGTAGCATACAGTCATCTGTTTTGTTGTTGTTACAAGTTCCTAAAATTGACAAGAAGAAGAAGGATTCACACCTCAGTTTTCCCCGTCACATAATCATATTTACATCCATCACAATGAATCAGCAACAAGTCTCTCTTACTGCCAGAATTTTCATTTAACTTTTATATTTCGGTCTGAAGGTAGAAAAATAGATCCTTACCACACTGTCCTTGGGTGTTATTGCCAAACAATTTGTACGCCAATCTAACCGAGAAAGACAAGCGATTGTAGCTTACGTTTACCCCAATTCGCTCAATTTCCACTACGTAATTTACTCCTGACTTAAATACTTTCATGCCATATTTTTCGTAAGGGGTAGCGACTTCCTGACCATTTACCTTCACCTAATGTGCAAAGAAAAAGGAGAAGAAACATACCTTTACATTATGTTCATTAAAATAATCTATTGATCATTAACTTGCATGGAAATGCAATGTAAAGGAAAGTAATGTGCTTATGACTCTAAACTTCCTTGCTATCTATTTCTGATGTGCTGTAAGTTTCTTTGCATGTGACAGGAATGTTGAACTCCCTCTCTAAGGCCCAGCAAAGGGCTACCTCCACCTGGGGATACATGTTCAGAATATGGGCCTCAGGACAAGGTGTGCCATACTCTGACTCTGAGCCTCTATGGGTCGACCTGCTGCAGGGTGGCCAGGGAGGAGTGACTGCCCCGTGCCAAGGCAATCCTTTCCCCCCAGCTCTAACCCCTCTGCAGCCCCACTATGCCACAACTTGTCAGGGTGTGCAAGGGGTTCCCTAGTCTTCAGTGGGTCTGGCACCGGAGTGCTGCCCCCATCTCCCAAGACAGTCTGGGAGGTCTTGATGCCCCATGGGCAATTCCCCAGCCTACCTTTGCTTCTCCTCTCCCTCCCAACCCGGGGGGAGCTGCTGCAGGCAGGTGGCTTCTGCCTGCCTATGGGGGGGGAGTAGAGTGAGGGCAACTGGCTTGCTGCTTGCCATGTGCTGAGCATGCTCAGTGACTGCTGAAATCTGACAGGGGTGACCCTGTTCCCACCCCCCCCCTTCTTCCCTAGCTGTGGACCCCACCTAGGCCATTTCCTTTAGCCTCTAGTGTCATGGCAGCCCAGCCCTGGTAACCATCTGGCTTCTCATTGGCTGTCTGCCCACTTAGATCATGCAATGGCAGAGCTGGTTCCTCCAGAGAAAGGGAATCCTTTGATCTACATTCATGTAAATAATGAAATGGAATGAAATAGGGGGAGGAAAAAAATCTTATTATTTACAACCATGTGGTAGGCAGAGTGCAGCAATTCTCAAATGAAGGGGTGGGCCACCCAAGAGAGGCGTAAGAATATGACAAGAGAGGGATGAGCTGTGAGGGAGTCCTTGGTTAGTTTTTTTAAGACCTTGGGCCATCAACCGCAGGATGCTGGAGCTTGAGCAGAAGGGGCATGCACACCCGGGAGGCAGGGATAAAGGGGACAGCTGGAGTCCCACCATCTAGGCTCCCTGGGAGGCAACCCATGCTCAGGCTCCTCCCGCATCTCTTCCAGAGAGGCAGTGGGAGCACCGCCAAAGCTATAGCACAGAAAAGTACTAACACAATCATTTGTCACATTGCCTGCCTTATTTCTGCACTGATTTGCAAAGTGATATTGACGCATATCACTGCCACCCTGTGCTGGTGTAGCGCTGCCTGGGTGGCCATGTATGTACTTGGTGGGAGGGCACATAAATGACTGTCTATACAAAAAAGCTGGGCCCAATCAAATAAGTGTGACAACTGCTGGCCTAGTACATTCCCCTTATGCTCATCTAGTACTGATAAGTTTTGCTCTGTCTCAGGAGCCAATGGGGAATTTAACCAGACTGTTGTTGTCTTGCAACATTCTACATGTAGTGACACCTCTACAATTGCCCACCTTAATAGTCCAAAATCCAGCAAAGAGCTGATGATGAAAAATAAGAAGATGAAGAATTCTAAAAGCAAGTACAGATTTAACCTCACTAGTCCAGCATCCTCAGGTGCTGAACCAGAGAATTTGCCAAACCACATTAGGTCAATATTGTCTAGTAGCATTACCAACACTTCCACTGTTTAATATTGTCTGACAGCATTACCAACATTTCCACCATTTATTGGGCTCTTAGAAGATATTTGGGGGTAAATCAGAGCTAAATAGCAACATAGAACACTGAGAGCCAGGACTGGTGGCTGTCAACAAACTTTATGGGAGGTTTGGCCACACTCATGATAAGTAGATATCCGGTTAACTAAAATCATGCTGGATCATGGATGTTGCAGGACCAGAGATTGCCAGACTAGAGAGATTCAACCTGTACTTTCAACATATTTTGGAGAAGACAGGTTATAAAACATGCCACATCCCAATCCTTGGAACTTGGGACTAAACTGATGACGGCTTTTCACTTGAAATATATAAAAAGGAAGCATTTTCACCCATCATGTAGTGTGAATACTATCAGCAAAGCCATTTGCCAGATGAGAATATATTTTAAAAATATTTTGGTCTACCACTCTGATTCAAATGTAATCTCTTGATCAAACCTTAATATGATTTACTGCCCTCCCTCAATCACTCTCTCAATCCTGCTTTCCAAGAACAATGAGATGTTTCTTACTCATTGGATACCATTTGGCATTTATTATTATTAATTATTATTATTATTATTCCTTTAGGGTGTTATCCACATCAAAATCCTTTAAAATCAGATTACAATTTTCCATTTTATGTTGTCTGCTAAAATGGATTTCTCCATATGCCATATTTTGATGGGGGAAGGGATTGTAAAGATCTGAGTCTCAAAAGGGGGAGGATTTCTTTCAATATGCAGAGGAAGAAGTGTTCCTATAAAACTCCATTAAAGCAACCCACAGAACAATTATTCTATTTTCCTAACATTGTGGCCAATGTAATCAGGTCTGAATGCCATTAGCTTATACAGGTTTGAATCTGATTAACTGAGGGCAGGTACAAGCTGCACATCAATATCAATCTGAGCAAATACATGTAGGTTTATTAGTCACTTTTCAATACCTGTATTATGAAAGGAAACATTTTCAGAGTCTTTACGTGCACTTCCTGGGTCTCGTATTTCACAATGAGCGTGCGTGGGCAGGACACTGTCTCCCGTGCATCACAGTGATAGTTGTCAATGTAGACCCCAAAATTGTCAATCTTTTTGTGAATTTCTTCCACCAGGACATATGTGCAATTCCCTTGGTAACTATAGTACTGTCCATCAAAGGTCACATAATGTGGGTCTCCCCAGCCAGTGCAGTAGCCTGTCAAGAGATTGAGAGTTAGTTTAGCTGCAGAGTGAGAGCATGAATAAGGGTGTTAGTAAGTGGAAGAACAATTCATCCTACTTGAATGGGCATTAAATAGAAATGAAAGAACCTACATGCAGTGAACAACAAATAAGTAAAGAGAATTAATCTAAAATTTCAGTTGGAACATTTTCCATATTTAAAGAATCAGAACTATTTGTTTCTAAGTTTACAGGTTCCATTTCTGGGAACCTCCAGTTTCAGGCAGGACAAACAGAAATATCAAAAATTCTCTGAACAAGGCTGTGCTTGTGCTATTTCCTACCAAGTTGAAACCCAGTAAGTGCCATGAATCTCTCTAGTAGGCCTGTGTGTTTGAGAGACCTCCAGCCAAGCTTCTGGATCAAAGAGCTCAAGATTGTTTCAAGCAGCTGGCTCAGAATCCAAATTTAGCAGCTTAGGCCCATTTTTAATGTTATCATGTAGGGTCACCTTCCATCACTCTACTCTTGCTATGCAGCCCCTTGCTGTGAACGACTGCAATGGGATTACTTGTGTACTGAGCTACCAGTCAACCTGAGTAACTAAGTAGAAGAATCAGGTCTGTACAGATGGCATCATTCAGGGGAAAAAGGGGCCAGAACCAAACAATTTTGAAGAGCAACATACTAATGCTTTTTTCATTGTTACCCTTAAGGTATGTCAAAGGCTCTCACATACTGATTTGTAATTTAATAATCCAAATAATTTAATAGAATAAAAGCTAAAATGAGAGAGTGAAGAGTAGGCTTCTTCACAAAATGTAAAAAGCTGGTGTTGGGATGGAGCTAGGTAGGGAACCTATGACTAATCTAGCAAGTGGTCCTACGGTTGAGACTGAATTTCATTGCTAGAGATATGAGGAGTTGATCTTGCACAACATCTGTCCCCACTACAAACATTGCAGTTCTTATAACTATTATTGGTCCGTCAGAGATAAAAATACCCTTCAAACAATACACTTACAGTCACACTCCCAGTGCCAACAGCATTCATCCTTTACCCTCACGGGAGTGAGCCCATTGCTACAATTAGGCTTAGGAACATCTTCGCATATGATCGTATTCAGCACCCATGTATCGTTGTCCTTGCATATTGCCTCCGTGCAGTTACATGGCCAGTAGCTCTCACCTGGCTGGATTTAAGACAGAAGAAGAAAAGAAAGTGAGACTTGGAATAAAGCCATCAGACTACTAAGGGGAAAAACTGGAGTTCTGGAGATTTTACATAGCTTTATATTGACAACATCTTTATTCCAAACACATTTTTGAAAGTGAGAATAAAGCACCACATGGCCATCAAGGTTTCTAAAATGAGATTTCTGCATTGATATGGATTTATTATAAGCACAGGGCCAGTCACCAGCTTTTTGTCCCTTCACTGGGGCACAGTGTAAAACGGCAGCTGCATTGGAGGTATTGACTACTAATAGACCTTTTGGAAACAGTATCATCAGTCAGCCAATAGAGGCATCCCAATTTATTTTGATGTCACATTTCACAAGGGAAAAGTAACGGTGCAGTGACTATGCCATGCCTGTAAAAGCTGTGTGCACTTGAATAAAGTTCTTAGTGCAGTGATTCCAATCTGCTGCGGCTAGAAGCAAATGCAGCTCTTCAGAGCATTTTAGAGGCACTACCCACACATGTTTGATTTGAGCGTCCCTTTCTGACCTTGGCTTCAGAGGCCTCATCACAGTGATACACAAAATAATCCAGGAAAGTTTACGCCCAAATAGATCTGTTAGTCTTTAAGCTGCCACAGGACTCCTCATTGTTTTTACAAATACAGACTAACATGGCTACCCATCTGATCAATAGGAAGTGATGGAATTTGCTGCTAGTAAGGAACTATTTGGTAATTCTTTCACAAAAGGCTCCTTCACAGTTTGACAAAGCACAATACTGTGGTGTAGTCAAAAGTCAATATGGTTTCTGTAAAAGGAAATCATGCCTTACTAATCTATTAGAGTTCTTTGAAGGGGTTAAGAAACATCGGAGCGTGGAGCCCTGACGGCCAGAGTAGGGTTGGGGGTGCGGAGCCCCGATAGCTGGGAGCAGGGAGTCCTGCTGGCTGAGAGCGCGGAGCCCTACTAGCCAGAGGGAAACCAGCAGCAAGACAGAAGCCCCGCCGGTGGCCCAGAAAGGAGCCCCACCACCAGGCTGGTGGCAGCACACTGGGGCCAGGAGGGGAGCCCCCCGAGAGCCCAAGGCTTGAGCTCCCCTAAAGGAAACACCCTCGTTCAGGATCACTCAGGTCCCCAGGGTGCTGGACCAGGGAGAGCAAATCTGTAGAAGAACATCTCAGCTTGATTTTAAAAATTGTTCATGATGGAGAAGCCACCACAACCCTTGGGAAATGGTTCCAAGAGTTAACGCTCCTCCTAGGGTATGTCTACACTTGCAGCCTACTTCGGAATGGGTCTGCAAATGTAGGCATTCGGAATCGCAAATCAAGTCTGGGATTTAAATAACCCATGCTTGTTGGCTATGAAAAATCAGGAAAGAGATTTTGGAGTAGTTCTCTGAAAACTTCCACACAGTGTGCAGCGGCGGTCAAAAAGGAAAATAGGATGCTAGGAATTATTAAGAAAGGGATAGAAAATAAGACACAGAATATCTTACTGCCCCTGTATAAAACTATGGTACACCCACATCTTGAATACTGTGTACAGATGTGGTCTCCTCACCTCAAAAAAGATATTTTGGCCTTGGAAAGGGTTCAGAAAAGGGCAACTAAAATGATTAGGGGTTTGGAACGGGTCCCATATGAGGAGAGGCTAAAGAGACTGGGACTTTTCAGTTTAGAAAAGAGGAGACTGAGGGGGGATATGATAGAGGTCTATAAAATCATGAGTGGTGTGGAGAGGGCTGATAAAGAAAAGTTATTTATTAGTTCCCATAATAGAAGAACTAGAGGACACCAAATGAAATTAATGGGTAGCAGGTTTAAAACTAATAAAAGAAAGTTCTTCTTCACACAGCGTGTAGTCAACCTGTGGAACTCCTTGCCAGAGGAGGCGGTGAAGGCTAGGACTATAGGACTATAACAGAGTTTAAAGAGAAGCTAGATAATTTCATGGAGGTTAGGTCCATAAAAAGCTATTAGCCAGGGGATAGAAATGGTGTCCCTGGCCTCTGTTTGTCGGAGACTGGAGAAGGATGGCAGGAGACAAATCACTTGATCATTGTCTTCAGTCCACCCTCTCTGGGGTACCTGGTGCTGGCCACTGTCAACTGAAAGGCTACTGGGCTAGATGGACCTTTGGTCTGACCCAGTATGGACGTTCTTATGTTCTTATAGCCCCTTGAAGAAATGCCTCTTGAGAGTTGAAGTTCAAAGAATGCTCTGGATGTATGAAATACCATAATGAAGGAAAGGGCCACCCTGACTGCCAAATTAATGTGACTTAGATGGAAAAATCTTTATACATCCAAAATATTAGAGGAACACTGTGCTAATGAATTGATTAAAATATCCTTCAAACTGCACATATGCTAGAACAAAATGGTCTTCTTTCATAGACATGATAAAAATGTAAAATCTACTTACTCGAATGAGAGTACCATTAGGTGTCTTACAATCAGATGGGGGAGTAGATGTCACTTCGGGTATACAGGTGGTGGTAGGTGTTGTTGTCCCTGGGGTGGTGGTAATAGGTGTTGTCGTCTCTGGTGTAGTGGTAGGTGTCGAAGTGGTTGTGGTGGTGGTGGTGGGGGTTGATGTTGTCGTCTCTGGGGTAGATGTTGCTGTGGTGGTGGTAGTGATAGGAAAATCAGATGTAAATATCAAAATCATTTGTAAAAACAATTACTACTGGAAATAAATAAGCTACCCTTACAACATTGCCTGTTATGAAAATGTTCTCTTTGACAGAAGGTACCATGAATCCAAACTACGCTAAATAACAAATATAGAGAGTGTACAGAGCATTACTATGTCCTGGATTCTTGAAATTCTACCTGAGTTTCATGCAGACTTTGTCTTTTTTATAAGAACATCTGGGTTATTTTACTAGACTTCACCACGACACTGGTAGACTCAAGGACTGCATATATTTAGGGAAAAGATAAATGTGATAATTATTATGCAAAGCCAGTGAAGCAGCAATAAGTCCTTCCACTTAAGCTGAACATATGGGAGAGATGTAGGAATATGAGACAGAAGTTGGATGTTAAGTGTATAATTATATTAATTCCTCTGCCCGTGAGTTACTCAGCATCACTTGCCTAAACAGCAATCACGGAAATTGCTCTGCACACTCTTTAAAACCTGTTTCAGCCTTCTGAGGTTTGGAGGAACAGGTTTAGGCCCAGCTTATACAGGGATTTAACATGCCTCTTACCCCCATGTACATCAGGGCAGGATGTGTTCCAAGCCAAAACAATGGTCACAATTATTTTATTCTTAAATCTCACCGAATACCTTGGCAATACATATTTTAAAATGTCGATTAATTTCAATTTTCAGGTAAAAGGGTAGCTTGTCTAAAATGTTCATACAAAAAGTGAGAGAGTTTTTTCCAGTTGATGCTGTATTTTACGTTATTACTTTTGGGTAATAAGAATCACATCCACACTTAAAGATTGTTATTGGTATTATTAACTGTGGGCAGTTATTCTTCAGTTCCTATCTGTTGAAGTACAGGCCATGCTACCTTTTCAGTAATCTTTGGAGTGGTAGTAGCAATGGCCATATATTCTGGCCAGCAACAGTTGATCTCATAATTGAGACAGATAGGGATTGGATTCGGGCACTTTGTGAGTTGGTCTTTATTACAGATAAGCACAGTGAAAACATCACATTGCAATTTTTGTCCTAAATCTACAATGGAGATGATAGCGACAGGCAATTTCGGACTTCTCCATGAAATATTCAGTGGATTCTTGTGTATCTGTGAGGAGTTCCACATTCTGATTTTTTTATAGGCTTCTAATCACCATTTTCTTGGACATGTAAAAACTTCAACACTTTGACATCCAGGGGATATCCAGATCAACAGCTCTTACACAAGCTTAAGACCTAGTGACTTTTATGAGAGTCATACCTGGTTATACCAGCTTTTTTTTTTCTTTTTTGCAACTTAATTCATAAAATCCAAAGATGAAATACCTGCATTCCCACACATATTCTTTTATCATTCTAAACTGAAAATGTTTTCCCCCTCCCTAGCTTTCTCTTTTACTTTTGTTCCCTCTGTTTTCTACCTATCATACCTCACAATGAGGAGTGTTCTTATTAAGAAATTTACTTGAAAAGCTTAAAAAATAATGAATAGTCTAGTAGCATGTTAAAGAATAAACATGTAGATGATATCATGAACTTTTGTGTGTAGAGCCCACTTCTTCTAATGACTAGAGTATTAAAAGTACAGCTCAAAGAATAAATAAGGGAAGGAGGAGAATTCGGGAAAAGGAGGGGAGGAAAGAAAAAAAGTAGTGAATTAGATTGTTCAACTTACCAGCTGCAGATAAGAACAACCTAAATCACTACTTTTTTCTCTTTTCCCCTTTCCTTTTCCCTGCCTAAGGTACTACAAGACTATTCATTGTTTTTAAGTTTTTCCAGTAATAAACTAACTCGGCTACCCTTCTGAAGCTTTTGTTACTTGAAAAGGTTGAAAAGATTGTGGTGATAACTGCGATGGAGAAATAAGAATATCACTATAAGAGTTCCAATTAAATGAAAACAGAAGTTAAAATAGCGGCAATATTCAGTTCAAGATTTGTGTTCAAGACACTAGAGTTGCCTTCATTCAGTGCACCAGCCAATTATCACACTTCTTTCATATTCCCAGCTATGACCATTGAATGCAGAAACATTTTCATCACGATGAGCAGGGCTCGCCGAGCGGTGGCGAGTCCCACTCGCCAGCCACGCGGCAGCTGCACAGTTCTGCACACTGCACATGCGCAGATCGTTCTGCGCATGCGCAGATCGCTCTGCACCGGCTCTTCCTGGGTGTAATCTACTCGCCACAGGCAAGTAGATTACATTGTTTGTCAAGCCCTGACGATGAGAACAACAGTAACACCAGTGCCTGAGGTTCTCCCTTTGCAGTTTAAAGCAACTTCTAGTGTTTAAATTCTTTTCTACTTCAGCATGATAAACCCATGAAAAACCATAGATATAAACAGTCATAGCCAGGCCATATCTATGCAATTTCTATGCAATCATTCTTTAAACAACTTACCTGAAGTAGTTGTTGTTGTGGTGGTGGTAGGTGTTGTTGTCCATGAGCTAGTTGTTTCTGCAGTGGTAGATGTTGCTGTAGATGGCGTAGTTGTTTCAGTGGTGGTGGTGGTGGTGATGGTAGGTGTTGTTGTCGATTGAGTGGGTGTTTCAGTGGTGGTGGTGGTGGAAGGTGTGGTGGTTGATGGAGTGGGTGTTTCAGTGGTGGTGGTAGTGATGGGAGGCGTTGTTGTCGTTGGAGTGGGTGTTACGGTGGTGGTGGTGATGGTAGGTGTGGTTGTTGATGGAGTGGGTGTTTCAGTGGTGGTGGTGGTGGAAGGTGTGGTGGTTTGTCAATGATGTAGTTGTTTCTGTGGTGGTAGATGTTGTTGTTGATGGGGTGGGTGTTTCGGTGGTGGTGGTAGGTGTTGTTGTTGATGGAGTGGGTGTTTCGGTGGTGGTGGTGGTGGTGGTGGTAGGTGTTGTTGTTGATGGAGTGGGAGTTTCGGTGGTGGTAGTGGTAGATGTTGTTGTCGATGGAGTGGGTGTTTCAGTGGCGGTGGTGGTAGGTGTTGTTGTCGATGGTAGGTGTTGTTGTCGATGGTAGGTGTTGTTGTCGATGGTAGGTGTTGTTGTCGATGGTAGGTGTTGTTGTCGATGGTAGGTGTTGTTGTCGATGGTAGGTGTTGTTGTCGATGGTAGGTGTTGTTGTCGATGGTAGGTGTTGTTGTCGATGGTAGGTGTTGTTGTCGATGGTAGGTGTTGTTGTCGATGGTAGGTGTTGTTGTCGATGGTAGGTGTTGTTGTCGATGGTAGGTGTTGTTGTCGATGGTAGGTGTTGTTGTCGATGGTAGGTGTTGTTGTCGATGGTAGGTGTTGTTGTCGATGGTAGGTGTTGTTGTCGATGGTAGGTGTTGTTGTCGATGGTAGGTGTTGTTGTCGATGGTAGGTGTTGTTGTCGATGGTAGGTGTTGTTGTCGATGGTAGGTGTTGTTGTCGATGGTAGGTGTTGTTGTCGATGGTAGGTGTTGTTGTCGATGGTAGGTGTTGTTGTCGATGGTAGGTGTTGTTGTCGATGGTAGGTGTTGTTGTCGATGGTAGGTGTTGTTGTCGATGGTAGGTGTTGTTGTCGATGGTAGGTGTTGTTGTCGATGGTAGGTGTTGTTGTCGATGGTAGGTGTTGTTGTCGATGGTAGGTGTTGTTGTCGATGGTAGGTGTTGTTGTCGATGGTAGGTGTTGTTGTCGATGGTAGGTGTTGTTGTCGATGGTAGGTGTTGTTGTCGATGGTAGGTGTTGTTGTCGATGGTAGGTGTTGTTGTCGATGGTAGGTGTTGTTGTCGATGGTAGGTGTTGTTGTCGATGGTAGGTGTTGTTGTCGATGGTAGGTGTTGTTGTCGATGGTAGGTGTTGTTGTCGATGGTAGGTGTTGTTGTCGATGGTAGGTGTTGTTGTCGATGGTAGGTGTTGTTGTCGATGGTAGGTGTTGTTGTCGATGGTAGGTGTTGTTGTCGATGGTAGGTGTTGTTGTCGATGGTAGGTGTTGTTGTCGATGGTAGGTGTTGTTGTCGATGGTAGGTGTTGTTGTCGATGGTAGGTGTTGTTGTCGATGGTAGGTGTTGTTGTCGATGGTAGGTGTTGTTGTCGATGGTAGGTGTTGTTGTCGATGGTAGGTGTTGTTGTCGATGGTAGGTGTTGTTGTCGATGGTAGGTGTTGTTGTCGATGGTAGGTGTTGTTGTCGATGGTAGGTGTTGTTGTCGATGGTAGGTGTTGTTGTCGATGGTAGGTGTTGTTGTCGATGGTAGGTGTTGTTGTCGATGGTAGGTGTTGTTGTCGATGGTAGGTGTTGTTGTCGATGGTAGGTGTTGTTGTCGATGGTAGGTGTTGTTGTCGATGGTAGGTGTTGTTGTCGATGGACTGGGTGTTTCGGTGGTGGTGGTAGTGATGGGAGGCGTTGTTGTCGATGGAGTGGGTGTTTCGGTGTTGGTTGTAGTGCTGGTGGTAGGTGATGTTGTTGATGGGGTAGGTGTTTCAGTGGTAGTGGGGGGGGGGGGGGGTGTTTTTGTGTGTCGATGGGGTACTTGTTTCTGTGGTGTTGGAGGAGGTGGTGGTAGGTGTTGTTGTTGATGGGGTACTTGTTTCGGTAGTGGTGGTGGAGGTCGTGGTAGGTGTTGTTGTTGATGGGGTACTTGTTTCTTTCGTGGTGGAGGTTGTGGTAGGTGTTGTCTTTGACGTGGTCGTTTCTGTGGTGGTGGTGGAAATTGTCGTTGTTGTAGTAGTAGGTTCACATATGTCTTTGCAGCAGTTAACGCGGATCTCATAATTGAGACACTTAGATACTGGCATTAAGGTTCCTGGCATTTGGTCTTTATTGTTACAGACAAGCCCAATGGAAACATCGCATTTCACTATTTGTCCTAATTCTTCAATTGATAAGTCAGGATATCTCTCAGCTCTGCATTCTATATCAATTGGCTGGTCACATATTGCTGAGGCGTTCCATTTTCTTATGTTTTCATAGGTTTCATAATCACCCGGGTGTGTGGCAAAATCTGGGTAACTCACATCAATCCAGTCAGACCAGGAACACACAGTTACAGAGTTAGGAGTGCATGGTGCTGCAAGAGAACAATGGAATGACAATTTTAGAAAGAACAGAAACATGCATGACATAATAGTTATGTTAGTGGTGCTAAAAATGACACACTGGATGCACATTGCTCCAAACCAAATAATTAGTGCAACCTACAACAATTTGGAATGAGAGCATGGTTATGAGCTACTCTGCACCAGTTGAAATTGTTAAGTGCTTCAGTTCAAGTCAATGGTGAAAAACAGCATGATCCGAATCAGGCTCTGAATGTGCTAAATTGTTGTTTCTTATGCACAGAAAAGAATGTAGCATGAACAGTAGTTACATGTGAGAAAAACATGAAAGGGGGAACAAGATTGAGCAGACACTCTCTACTTTATCTCACTCTCTACTTTATCTCATAGCCTCCTGTTAATTGCTTTTCCAGCCATTTGCACCTAAGTTTATTATCGCTACAACAAATTAATGAGTATTATATAGCATAAAGACACAGAACAAAGCAGCTATAGAGCCGTGTTTCATGGCCAAATGCAGACCAGCAGCTGGTCACGGGACAAAGAAAAAGGATTCTGAGGTAATTCATCACAAGGACAGAGAAGAAACCGGGAGGCACAACGAGATATTGAAATCCTGAGTCTTGGTCTACAACTGCTATGCCAGAGAAATGCTGAAATTATAGTCACTCAGTCCTCTGAAAATCCCCTCTAGGACTGGTGGTAGCAAGGGTTGCATATATCAAGGAATACATGCAAATATGATAAATATTATGCCTGTGTAAGGATGCAATAATCACTCCGCCCACTCAAGACTTACATGTGGGAGAGTCATTGTCACAATAATCAGAAGACCAGTCTAGGGCAGGAAAACAGAGTATTTAATTAACACTAACTCCTTAGCCCACAAGCAGCTCAGTATCACCTGCCTACAGAGCAGTCCCTCTGCCCACTCCTTAATACCAGTTTCAGCATCCTGAGGTTTGGTGGGACACATGTTTGGTGGGACTCCTTATCCAGGAATAAGGAACTTAACAGTCTTCGTATTCCCGTGTAAATCAGGGGCAGGATATGTTCCTAGTGAAAATAATGGCCACTATTATTTTATTCTTTCATATTATTTTATAAATCTCTGCTATTAGGACCGTTCTGTTTATAGCTTCCATGTCCACATTATTATATCTTAATTTTATTGATGTTTACCTTTGGTTAATAAGAATCACATAACTTAAAGACTGTTATTGTTATTATTAACCATGGGCAGTTATTCTTCAATGTCATACCTATTGAAGTCTGATTATGATTCCTGTTGTAGGAGTCAATATTGGCATGGTTCCCTTTGTAATGATTGAAGGCTTAGTGGTGCTAGTTGAAGTAGTTGTTGGTGATGGGATTGAAGTGAATGTTGGATGCTTAGTATTGGTAGTTGTCAGGACAGCGATTGGAATGGGTGTTGGGGGCCCAGTGCTGATAGCAGTTGGTGGTGTTATGGCAGCTGTGCTTAGGATGAGGACTGAAGATTTGGCATTAGTTGGGGGGATTGCAGGCTCAGTGCTCACTGTAGTGGTGGGTATAGGGGTTTGAAGGAAGTTGTGCTTCTGGCTATGGGGATTGGAGACTTAATGATAGTTGTGTTCGTGGGTTTGTGGGTTGGTTGTAAGTGTGGGAATTGGTTAGTGTGCTTGGAGGCTCAGTGGTAATTGTGACAGGAGGGTTGGAGGGATGGTGGTAAATGTACTGATGGGCACTCCTTGCAGGAGGCAAAAGGGATCTGGCAAAAAAGGCTTGCTTTCTTTACAGATCTCCCTCTAGACTGCCGCTTTTCCCCAACAAAGTGCTGAGTCGGTAAAAACAGTGGCAATTTTCATGCAAATTAGGCATGGGATATTTAAATCCCCGCTTCATTTGCAATGTCAACCAGCCTAATCTGCATCCCTCTGCCAACAGAGGGACTCAGTCTAGACATATCCATACTGTCGACAGAGACTTTGTCGACAAATAGCGTCTAGACTACAGCCAGTTCTGTCGACAAAGCAAGCTGCTTTTTCAGCACAGAGACTAGATGCTCTCTTTTGAAAAAGCACAGTGTGGATGCAATAGCGTCTTTTTTTGACATAGGACTGTCGAGAAAAGGCGTTATTCCTTGTAGAATGAGGTTTACTGCCGTTGACAAAACTGCCACGTTCTGTCAACTTTCTGTCGACAGAACTCAGCAGTAATGGAGATGAAGGTATAGTTTTGTCGACAAAACCTTGTGGTCCAGACACACCCTTAGTCTCCCTCCAAGAAAAGACTCTTCGCTATCTGTAAGTAGAGTAAAATTTAGATAAATCCTTAAGGTTTTATTGTTTTATGGTTTGGGAATGGGAATCTGATGTCTGTGCATTTAAAAATGGGGTTTCCTCTCCTTTGTAACTAAGCTCTTGGCCCATAGGGTCCCCCCATGAGTTTATTAACTGGTGACATTTCCAGCTAGTCATTATGCTTGTAACAGGTGTATTGTGGTGATAATACAAATTTTTTCTCTTTCCTTTTTATTAACCTGGTATTGGTTAATTTTAATTTTCTGGTTTTACTTTTGGGGTCCAACACTTCCCAAGTAGTCTCTCTCTGGTTTCTTTATTACTTGGATGGTGGCAGTGGAATATTTATCCCCAAAATCTAGAGCTTTAAGATTTTGGGGGGAAGCTTTATACCAAAGCATGGAAAGATCAGGTTTTGGGGTTCTTTTGCAGGCTCCTGCTTCTGCATTTATTGTGCCAGAGTGGGGAAAAAGCCTTGATAAAGACCTAGAGATTTTTATGGGAGTTATACCTGGTTACACGGGTTTGAAACTGTCCGACTGGAAAGAATTTTTCTTTTGCCACTCAATTCATAAAATCCAGAGGTGAAATACACCCATGCTCACACATATTCTTTTACCATTCTAAAGTGAAAATGTATTTTTCCTCCCTGGCTTTCTTCTTTTTCTACATTTTCCTTTGTTTTCTACCAACCATGTTATACAACAAGGAGTTTCCTTATCAAGAAACTTACTTGTTGGAGTTATGGTACATGTAATAGAGAAAAAAGAAACATCAGTTTAAGAGTTCCAGAGAAATTAAAACAGTAGTTAAAATCCCAGACATATTCAGTTCTAGATTTGTTTCCAAGATGCTAAGGGCACCTTCCATCAGTGCAACAGCCCCTTAAAGATTTATAAAACTTGCTTCATAGTCCCAGCTGTGACATTCACAAACATTTTAATCATGGTGGGAACATCAGTCAGACCAATGCCTGATGTTTCCCTTATTGCAGATTAGAGCAACTGTTAGCATTTAAAAAATGTCTTACTTCACCATGAAAAAACATGCAAAAGCATAGCTATAAATGGTCATGAGGCACCAAAGGTCTATGCAATCTTTCTGTAAACCACTTACTTGGAGTAATCGTCACTGTGGTGGTGCTGGTAGGTGTCGTTGTCTTGGGGGTAGTGGTTTCAGTGGTGGTGGTGGTGGTGCTGCTGCTAGTGGTGGTAGGTGTTGTTGTCGATGGGGTACTTGTTTCTGTGGTGGTGGAGATGGTGGTAGGTGTTGTTGATGGAGTAGTTGTTTTAGTGGTTGTGGTAGTAGTGGTAGTGGTGGTGGTAGGTGTAGTTGTTTCTGTGGTGGTGGTGGTGGTAGGTGTTGTTGTCTTTGGCGTGGTTGTTGCTGTGGTGGTGACGGAAGTTGTTGTTGTTTGAGAAGTAGTTCCACATATGACTGAGCAGCAGTTAACGCGGATCTCATAATTGAGACAAATAGGAAATGACACTATGGGTCCTGGCTTTTGGTCTTTATTATTGCAGACAAGCCCAGTGGAAACATCGCAATTCACTATTTGTCCTAAATCTTCAATTGGTAAGTCAGGATATTTCTCAGCTCTGCATTCTATATCTATTGGCTGGTCACATATCGCTGAGTCGTTCCATTTTCTTATGTTTTCATAGGTTTCATAATCACCCGGGTGTGTGGCAAAATCTGGGTAACTCACATCAATCCAGTCAGACCAGGAACACACAGTTACAGGGTTAGGAGTGCATGGTGCTGCAAGAGAACAATGGAATGATGATTTTAGAAAGAAAAGAAACATGCATGACATAATAGTGATGTTAGTGGTGCTAAAATTGACTCACTGGATGCACATTGCGTCCAAAACAAATAATTAGTGTAACCTACAACAATTTGGAATGAGAGCAGGGTTATGAGCTAATCTACACCAGTTGAAATTGTTAAGTGCTTCAGTGAAAAACAGCATGATCCGAATCAGGCTCTGAATGTGCTAAATTGGTGTTTCTTATGCACAGAAAAGAATGGAGCATGAACAGTAGTTTCATGTGAGAATAACATGGAAGAGGGAGCAAGATTGAGCAGACACTCTACTTTATCTCACAGCCTCTTGTTAATTGCTTTTCCAGCCATTTACACCTAAGTTTATTATTGCTACAACAAATTAATGAGTATTATATAGCATAAAGGCACAGAACAAAGCAGCTATAGAGCCGTGTTTCATGGCCAAATGCAGACCAGCAGCTGGTCACGGGACAAAGAAAAAGGATTCTGAGGTAATTCATCACAAGGACAGAGAAGAAACCGGGAGGCACAATGAGATATTGAAATCTTGAGTCTTGGTCTACAACTGCTATGCCAGAGAAATGCTGATAATATAGTCACTCAGTCCTCTAAAAATCCCCTCTAGGACTGGTGGAAGCAGGTTTGCATATATCAAGGAATACATGCAAATATGATCAATATTATGCCTGTGCATGGATGCAGTAATCACTCCTCCCACTCAATACTTATATGTGGAAGAGTCATTGTCACAATAGTCAGAAGACCAGTCTAGGGCAGAAAAATGGAGTGTTTAAGATTAACTCCTTAGATCCATGAGCAGCTCAGTATCACCTGCCTACAGAGCAGTCCCTCTGCCCACTCCTTAATACCAGTTTCAGCATCCTGAGGTTTGGTGGGACACATGTTTGGTGGGACTCCTTATCCAGGAATAAGGAACTTAACAGTCTTCTTATTCCCATGTAAACCAGGGACAGTCAGATCAATGCCTGATGTTTCCCTTAATGCAGATTAGGGCAACTGTTAACATTTAAAAAATGTCTTACTTCACCATGAAAAAAACATGCAAAAGCATAGCTATAAATGGTTATGAGGCACCAAAGGTCTATGCAATCTTTCTGTAAACCACTTACTTGGAGTAGTCGTCACTGTGGTGGTGGTGGTAGGTGTTGTTGTAGAAGGGCTGGTTGTTGCTGTAGTGGTGGTGGTGGTAGTAGGTGTTGTTGTCGATGGGGTACTTGTTTCTGTGGTGGTGGAGGTGGTGGTAGGTGTTGTTGTCGATGGGGTACTTGTTTCTATGGTGGTGGAGGAGGTGGTGGTCGGTGTTGTTGTCGATGGGGTAGTTGTT